AGTGCTTTTCCTTGGATTTGTTATTTCTGCGCATGGTATTGCAGTTGACCTAGAGAAAATTTGTGCTATTAGGGATTGGCCAATGCCAAGAACAATTTCTGAGGTTCGAAGTTTTCATGGTTTGACCACCTCCTATAGACGATTTATTAAAGGGTTTAGTTCCATTATGGCTCCCATCACAGAGTGCATGAAAAAATGGGAGTTTCAATGGACACTTGTTGCACCTAGAGCCTTTCAAGAAATTAAGCATAGGATGACAGAGGCACCCGTTCTTCGACACCCAGATTTTTTTAAGGTGTTTGAGGTTGCCTGTGATGCATCTGGTGTAGGGATAGGTGAAGTTTTGAATCAAGAGGGTCATCCTATTGATTATTTCAGCGAAAAACTCAATGAAACTAAACAACGATACTCTACATATAACAAAGAGTTCTACGCTGTGGTACAAGCTCTTCGCCATTGAAGGTATTATCTATTGCCATCTGAGTTTGTGTTATATTCTGATCATTANATCCCATTTGATTGGTCTCAAGGCGTCACCCAGTCAGGCCCTGTCACATCCAGGGGTAACAATTACCCCAACTTGAGAGGTAATACCATTGGGGGTCGAGATTCTACACTCACAGGTTCTCGCCAGGACAATTCTTCCATAGAGTGTCACCGTTGTCATGGCAAGGGTCATATTGCTTCACAATGCCCTCAGCGTACCTTGACCATTGACCAGGGATTAGAGAATTCACTTGACAGAGAGGATGTTGACCAAGAAGTTGATCCTTTGGATGAGGAACCCTTAGAGTTACTAGATGAGGGTGAGGAAGAGTGGCAAACCGATGACACCTGTGTCAGTGTGATGCGATGCATCTTATCTATCTCTTCAGACACAGACGCATGGAAACGCACNCTTTGTTGACCCCTAAGAAAGATGGCTCTTGGAGAATGTGTGTTGATAGCCGTGCCATTAACAAAATTACAGTCAAGTATCGATTTTCTATATCGAGACTTGAAGATATGCTTGACCTTTTGGCCGGTGCGCTTTGGTTCTCCAAAATTGATTTGCGCAGTGGTTATCATCAAATCCAAATTAGACCAGGAGATGAATGAAAAATCGCATTTAAAATTCAGGATGGACTTTATGAGTGGTTGGTCATGCCTTTTGGATTGTCTAATGCACCTAGCACATTTATAAGGGTTATGACTCAGATACTGCGTCCTTTCCTAGGAAAATTTGTGGTTGTTTACTTTGATGACATCTTGATCTATAGTAAGTCTAAAGAAGAGCATTTGGATCATCTTCGATAGATTTTGCAGACATTACATGTGAAAAAATTCTATGCGAACCTTAAGAAGTGCTTCTTTATGCAAACTCAAGTGCTTTTCCTTGGATTTGTTATTTCTGCGCATGGTATTGCAGTTGACCTAGAGAAAATTTGTGCTATTAGGGATTGGCCAATGCCAAGAATAATTTCTGAGGTTCGAAGTTTTCATGGTTTGACCACCTCCTATAGACGATTTATTAAAGGGTTTAGTTCCATTATGGCTCCCATCACAGAGTGCATGAAAAAATGGGAGTTTCAATGGACACTTGTTGCACCTAGAGCCTTTCAAGAAATTAAGCACAGGATAACAGAGGCACCCGTTCTTCGACACCCAGATTTTTTTAAGGTGTTTGAGGTTGCCTGTGATGCATCTGGTGTAGGGATAGGTGAAGTTTTGAATCAAGAGGGTCATCCTATTGATTATTTCAGCGAAAAACTCAATGAAACTAAACAACGATACTCTACATATAACAAAGAGTTCTACGCTGTGGTACAAGCTCTTCGCCATTGAAGGTATTATCTATTGCCATCTGAGTTTGTGTTATATTCTGATCATTAGGCATTAAAATATCTTCAATCCCAGAGAAAATTGAGTGTTAGGCACGTTAGGTGGATTGAGTTCCTTTAGGAGTATACTTTTGTTCTTCACCACCGAGCGGACATTGAAAACAAGCCTGCGGATGCTCTTAGCTGTGTAGTTACTGTTTTACAGACTATGAGTGTCCATGTGATCGGCTTTTGATAGGATTAGAGATGAGTATACCTCTTGTCTTGACTTTGGTATCATTTTTCAGGATGTTCAGTTTGGTAACCATCCTGAGTACATTGACTTCCTCCTTAGAGATGGTTACTTGTTTAGAGGGTCGCGCTTATGTATTCCCCGTACTTCACTTAGGGATTTTCTGATTTGGGAATTACATGCGAGAGGTTTGGCAGACCACTTTGGTAGGGATAAGATATTTACACTTGTTGAGGATAGGTTTTATTGGCCCACTTTGAGACGTGACATTATTAGTGTCACACCCTAATTGACTTGGGTGCAAATGACCGGTCTTGGTGGCACCTTGCACAAAGGCATGCCATAGGTTGGAATCAAGGTGATGCGGCTAAGTGGTTCGACAGATTGGGGCGAACCAAGGCAGCATGAGAACACCCAGTTGAGCATGGCAACACGTGGTGGGCTCAATTAAAGCAATGTGGGTGCATAACTTCGGATTGCATGGTATGAGTTGAACCCAGCATGCACATTGGGTCGTGTAGCCAGGCTGACTGCTGAATGTAGGCACTTGACTGACACATGACTGCTGAATGTGGGCACTTGACTGACATATAGTTGTTCAATGCATGTGACCAGGAGGATGTGGGCGGTTATGATATTGAGACACAATCAAGACAGTTGCTGAGGCAGTTTTGGGCGTCCCTAGTATGAATCCAGTCTAGATGCATGTTGATGAAGGGCAGTTCCACAACAGTTACTGGAAGTGGTGGAACTGCCTGTCAGGTGTCGCACAGAGACCAAGCTTGCTAGCCAGTATGCTATGGAATAGCAAAAACGTGTGTAACTACCCCTTGGCAGATGGGGGTGTCATTTGCCTTACTCCTGTATAAATAGGGGTGCTTGAGCATTCTGATGAGATGAGAGTGTTCTGGCTTTAAGAGTCCTTGTAAATTGTTGAGTTCAATATATAAGGTTTGAGAGTTTTGTCCCAGTAAATTCGTGTGTGCCTTCTGTGTGAGTTTCTGTCCCTTATTCTTGAATTGAGTGTGGCTGGTTGCAGTAGCAACGCCTTCACAGGTAGTCTCGAAGGAAAAACGAAAGTTACCTTATGACAATTAGGATAGTGTCACAGTGTCGCACTTGTCAGTTAGCAAATGTTAGGAAACAAAACACGGGGTTCTACACACCATTACCAGTTCCACACACACCATGGAGAGACTTTAGTATGGACTTTGTCTTAGGATTGCCTAAAACAACCCGTAATCATGATTCCATTCTAGTTGTCATGGATAGGTTTTCTAAGATGGCCCATTTCATTCCTTGCACTAAGGCTATTGATGCCTCACATGTAGCAAAGTTATTTTTTAGTGAGGTCGTCCAACTACATGGGTTNCCTTGCACTAAGGCTACTGATGCCTCACATGTAGCAAAGTTATTTTTTAGTGAGGTCGTCCAACTACATGGGTTGTCTATTTTCATTGTGTCTGATAGGGATGTCAAGTTTGTGAGTTATTTTTGAAAGACACTTTGGAAACTCTTTGGAACTAATCTTAAGTTTTTCTCTGCCTTTCATCCCCAAACTGATGGTCAAACTGAGGTAGTTAATTGTAGCTTAGGAGATTTGCTTAGGTGTCTGGTGGGTGAAAAGATTGAAAATTGGGATTTGTTGTTGCCTACTGTTGAATTTGCCTATAATAACTTCGTCAATAGGTCGACTGGTCTATCCCCTTTTGAGATTGTTTATGGCCATTCCCCTAGACAGCCCATTGATTTATTACCTTTACCTCCTGATTCCCGCCCCTCACACTGAGGCGAAGCTTTTGCCCAGCATATTCATGACTTGCATGTCGACATAAGACAAAAAATTACATTAAGTAATGAAAATTATAAATTGGCTGTAGATGTTCATCGTAGGAATAAAGAATTTATTGTGGGAGACTATGTCATGCTTCGTGTGCGTCCTGAACGTTACCCTAAAAATTCTTTCAAAAAGTTAAATGTTCGAGCCATTGGCCCTTTTCGTATTTTTCGTAAGTTTGGACCTAATGCATATCACCTTGACTTACCTTCGAATATGAGTATTAGTCCTATTTTCAATGCGGAGGACTTGTTTCCTTATCATGGTACTTTTGAGCCTCCTATGTTTCCAGCAGGTGNTTGACCCTTTTCGTATTTTTCGTAAGCTTGGACCTAATGCATATCACCTTGACTTACCTTCGAATATGAGTATTAGTCCTATTTTCAATGCGGAGGACTTGTTTCCTTATCATGGTACTTTTGAGCCTCCTATGTTTCCAGCAGGTGTTCCTACAGGTGGACTTGCTTCGTCATCAGCTTCAACTACAGTTCCTATTCTTCCACCGTTTCCACCACAGCTGCATGACCAGATCGCAGATGTACTTGATGATCAGATTGTGGGCTCCTCGGATGGAGGATATCGTCGTTATCTTATTCGGTGGAGAGATCGTCCAGAGACTGATGATTCATGGATTACTGAGAAGTTTCGTCGGCTTGACCCCGATATTCTAGAGCATTATCATGATTATATCTCTCCGGAGGCGAGTTCTTTTCAGCCGGGGGGAAATGATAGGAATAAGATTATATTTCGTTATAGTAGGCGTAGGCGTAAGGATCAGAAGTTATTTGTCATTATGTTTTTCAGGGGTTTAGTTGTCATTATGACTATTTATTTCTTTTAGAGTTCTTTTAGGATTTGTGGTCTCTTTATATATATACGAGATATGTTATTTGTTTTGGTAGACTTTGATTATTGATTATTGTTATTGAATCTTATTCCTAAAATTCTCTCTCTATTCTTATCCCCTTCTTCTTCTTTTCTCATCCTCTTCTTCTTCCCTTCTCATCCCTAATACGATCTAATACGATCTACGTCACTCTACATTAGAAGTTAAGTAGAATATATTTTACATAAACTACAAGGTGCTGCAAGGTTATTCTAGGAGCTGCCAATGCCATATGGTAAACAATGCTATGCCATGACCACTATTCACCTGTAAACATGCGATTTTAATATTAGTACCAGGAAAAAGATAACCTGGTTAGACATTTGCTTATTATGGCTGTTTGTTTGTATACCAGGTACTTTTACCCTCTCTAATCTTGGAATGTTTGGTGTGGATCGCCTTGATGCAATTTTACCGCCTGGAACTGTAAGTATTTAAGATTGAGTCATACTTCTACCAGATAATCGGTGAAATTGAAGAATCTAGACAATCTATTGTATTATTCTGGCAGGGTGCAATCATGGCAGTTGGAGTATCTCAGCCCACTATAGTTTGTACAAAGGATGGTCGGTTTGGCTTAAAAAACCAGATGCAGGTTAAAGCTTTTTATTTCCACAATTATTCTTTGATGTTTTTTTTTTTCCCTACAAAAGCCCTGAGAGTAACTTTGTGTTGAATTCTTACCTTGATGAATTCAAAATTTTCAGGTAAATGTTACAGCAGACCATCGTGTCATATATGGTGCTGATCTGGCTTCATTCTTGCAAACCCTAGCTCTGATAATTGAGGACCCTAAAGATCTTACCCTCTAGTTACACCTTGTGGCCCGAAAAAAATTCTTTGTACTGTTTTGTGATTATCTTTGACTATTAACATGCTCGAGCTTGATTGATTTATGCTGCGGCAAAGTGTTTTTTTTTTTGACCAAAAGCTGCGGCGAAGTTAGTAGCTAATCACGAGCTGCAGCAAAGTTACTAGCTAATCACTATATGCTTAATCGAGTCTGAAGAACAACACGGGCAGAATTTTGAAGAGATTTGATTTTGTTTTTATTTTTTGTTGCAAATTTTCCCCGTAAGTTAGTTTCTGTCAAGTTTGAGACTACAGGATATACGTTGTATTCTAATAATTGTGGCTCAAATAATGTTGAGATCTTTTAAATACTTGTTTGGATTTAAAATATAAAATACAAAAAATATTCAGTGTATTGACACCTGGTAGTTCAAATGTACTAAGAAAGTGCCAAGTGATAGAAATTGAAGAAAGGTGGGAGTCGAGCAATTATAACTATATTTGAAAATGAAGAAGTAATTAATTAGGAGTTATCAGTCAGTAATCATTGACTGGACAGGAGTAAAACTATTGATAGGAGAAAAATCGTCAAAAAAACAAAAATTGATTAAAATAAAAACATTTAGCCGAGAAGATGGATGTACCTTCAAACTCCCAAAAAACTTACGACATGAGCATTGAGCATTATTAGGTGTAGTTTTTAGTAGTTAGTGCTATACCTAAGGATGTTTTATTCACCCCTTTGTAACTGAAGTCCCTTAGATTGAATTAATTAGAGAATTCCTTTTTATTGGTTATCTGTTATTCCATTTCACTTTTACATAGTGTGATTTTTTATTATTTTTCATTCAAGGAAGTTTTGGAATAAGGTATTTGAACCAATTCTAAATAGTCGCCTAAAAATTGTGTTGATTGGGACATTTTTTGTCGATTACAATAGATTTTGGAGCAATAATCTTTTAGTATGCCCGAAGGGACAACATTACTAATTTGGATAAAAAATGATTTGAACAAGAAAGCAAAACGAGATTGTGTTTAACATAGAAAGAAATGAACTCGTGGAAGTGACACCAAACAATGATAATTATGAAGCCAGCTCAATTACCAATCCACTGAGTTTGCAAATTCAAAAAATGGCTAGTCNGTTATCTTATTCGGTGGAGAGATCGTCCAGAGACTGATGATTCATGGATTACTGAGAAGTTTCGTCGGCTTGACCCCGATATTCTAGAGCATTATCATGATTATATCTCTCCAGAGGCGAGTTCTTTTCAGCCGGGGGGAAATGATAGGAATAAGATTATATTTCGTTATAGTAGGCGTAGGTGTAAGGATCAGAAGTTATTTATCATTATGTTTTTCAGGGGTTTAGTTGTCATTATGACTATTTATTTCTTTTAGAGTTCTTTTAGGATTTGTGGTCTCTTTATATATATACGAGATATGTTATTTGTTTTGGTAGACTTTGATTATTGATTATTGTTATTGAATCTTATTCCTAAAATTCTCTCTCTATTCTTATCCCCTTCTTCTTCTTTTCTCATCCTCTTCTTCTTCCCTTCTCATCCCTAATTCTTCCCTAATACGATCTACGTCACTCTACATTAGAAGTTAAGTAGAATATATTTTACATAAACTACAAGGTGCTGCAAGGTTATTCTAGGAGCTGCCAATGCCATATGGTAAACAATGCTATGCCATGACCACTATTCACCTGTAAACATGCGATTTTAATATTAGTACCAGGAAAAAGATAACCTGGTTAGACATTTGCTTATTATGGCTGTTTGTTTGTATACCAGGTACTTTTACCCTCTCTAATCTTGGAATGTTTGGTGTGGATCGCCTTGATGCAATTTTACCGCCTGGAACTGTAAGTATTTAAGATTGAGTCATACTTCTACCAGATAATCGGTGAAATTGAAGAATCTAGACAATCTGTTGTATTATTCTGGCAGGGTGCAATCATGGCAGTTGGAGTATCTCAGCCCACTATAGTTTGTACAAAGGATGGTCGGTTTGGCTTAAAAAACCAGATGCAGGTTAAAGCTTTTTATTTCCACAATTATTCTTTGATGTTTTTTTTTTTCCCTACAAAAGCCCTGAGAGTAACTTTGTGTTGAATTCTTACCTTGATGAATTCAAAATTTTCAGGTAAATGTTACAGCAGACCATCGTGTCATATATGGTGCTGATCTGGCTTCATTCTTGCAAACCCTAGCTCTGATAATTGAGGACCCTAAAGATCTTACCCTCTAGTTACACCTTGTGGCCCGAAAAAAATTCTTTGTACTGTTTTGTGATTATCTTTGACTATTAACATGCTCGAGCTTGATTGATTTATGCTGCGGCAAAGTGTTTTTTTTTTTGACCAAAAGCTGCGGCGAAGTTAGTAGCTAATCACGAGCTGCAGCAAAGTTACTAGCTAATCACTATATGCTTAATCGAGTCTGAAGAACAACACGGGCAGAATTTTGAAGAGATTTGATTTTGTTTTTATTTTTTGTTGCAAATTTTCCCCGTAAGTTAGTTTCTGTCAAGTTTGAGACTACAGGATATACGTTGTATTCTAATAATTGTGGCTCAAATAATGTTGAGATCTTTTAAATACTTGTTTGGATTTAAAATATAAAATACAAAAAATATTCAGTGTATTGACACCTGGTAGTTCAAATGTACTAAGAAAGTGCCAAGTGATAGAAATTGAAGAAAGGTGGGAGTCGAGCAATTATAACTATATTTGAAAATGAAGAAGTAATTAATTAGGAGTTATCAGTCAGTAATCATTGACTGGACAGGAGTAAAACTATTGATAGGAGAAAAATCGTCAAAAAAACAAAAATTGATTAAAATAAAAACATTTAGCCGAGAAGATGGATGTACCTTCAAACTCCCAAAAAACTTACGACATGAGCATTGAGCATTATTAGGTGTAGTTTTTAGTAGTTAGTGCTATACCTAAGGATGTTTTATTCACCCCTTTGTAACTGAAGTCCCTTAGATTGAATTAATTAGAGAATTCCTTTTTATTGGTTATCTGTTATTCCATTTCACTTTTACATAGTGTGATTTTTTATTATTTTTCATTCAAGGAAGTTTTGGAATAAGGTATTTGAACCAATTCTAAATAGTCGCCTAAAAATTGTGTTGATTGGGACATTTTTTGTCGATTACAATAGATTTTGGAGCAATAATCTTTTAGTATGCCCGAAGGGACAACATTACTAATTTGGATAAAAAATGATTTGAACAAGAAAGCAAAACGAGATTGTGTTTAACATAGAAAGAAANAAAGTTACTAGCTAATCACTATATGCTTAATCGAGTCTGAAGAACAACACGGGCAGAATTTTGAAGAGATTTGATTTTGTTTTTATTTTTTGTTGCAAATTTTCCCCGTAAGTTAGTTTCTGTCAAGTTTGAGACTACAGGATATACGTTGTATTCTAATAATTGTGGCTCAAATAATGTTGAGATCTTTTAAATACTTGTTTGGATTTAAAATATAAAATACAAAAAATATTCAGTGTATTGACACCTGGTAGTTCAAATGTACTAAGAAAGTGCCAAGTGATAGAAATTGAAGAAAGGTGGGAGTCGAGCAATTATAACTATATTTGAAAATGAAGAAGTAATTAATTAGGAGTTATCAGTCAGTAATCATTGACTGGACAGGAGTAAAACTATTGATAGGAGAAAAATCGTCAAAAAAACAAAAATTGATTAAAATAAAAACATTTAGCGGAGAAGATGGATGTACCTTCAAACTCCCAAAAAACTTACGACATGAGCATTGAGCATTATTAGGTGTAGTTTTTAGTAGTTAGTGCTATACCTAAGGATGTTTTATTCACCCCTTTGTAACTGAAGTCCCTTAGATTGAATTAATTATAGAATTCCTTTTTATTGGTTATCTGTTATTCCATTTCACTTTTACATAGTGTGATTTTTTATTATTTTTCATTCAAGGAAGTTTTGGAATAAGGTATTTGAACCAATTCTAAATAGTCGCCTAAAAATTGTGTTGATTGGGACATTTTTTGTCGATTACAATAGATTTTGGAGCAATAATCTTTTAGTATGCCCGAAGGGACAACATTACTAATTTGGATAAAAAATGATTTGAACAAGAAAGCAAAACGAGATTGTGTTTAACATAGAAAGAAATGAACTCGTGGAAGTGACACCAAACAATGATAATTATGAAGCCAGCTCAATTACCAATCCACTGAGTTTGCAAATTCAAAAAATGGCTAGTCTAGTGGCCATGATAATGTGCAGATGCAAGAGTTTGTGCAAAACCTGAAACGTGTATTGCATAATCCTAATTTTGGTATAAGACAAGACTTAATTAATTCCATGCATAAATAAATAAGTGTCCAGACACCAATGTTAGAACCAATTAATTAAAAATCAACCACCATTATTATAAATCAAATGGTGGAAGAAGGAAACACCAACCCTATGGTGCTTCCAATGGAAAACCAAAGGCCACCACTAATGGTTACCAGCGCAAGACCAAAATCACTTTAATATGATATTCGATGGGGAACCTATTGAAATATTTCCTAATTTCTTCCTAGAAATGAATCATAAGGACAAAAATAGGTCAAATATGGCCCCTGAATTTTCTTGAAGGGGTTGTGGGAGGCTGCCTCCATTGGAACCAATAGAGGAATTTAACCCAAGGCCAAGGGTGTAACCTTTTGACTAGTTTGAAAATTTAGAAGGCTACAATAACATGACTTATAATAGAAACTATTTGGTGAAAATGATTTAGGATCTGTATGGTCCTGGCCATAGAAAAAACTGAACGACCTATGTTTACAAAAGTATATCCACCATGGGTTGAATTTGAGGAATTTCCAAAGGGATATAAAATCCTAGAATTTCACTTTTACTCTGGTGAAGAAAATTAATCAACCATAGAGCACATAGGAAGATTCATTTTCCAGTGTAAGGAAGTTGAAAATAATGGGAACTTGAAAATAAAACTAGTCCCACAATCTTTGACTAAAAC